AGCCGTGTCCATGAGTAAGTTTCCCTCATCTCTCGGAGACTCAGTTTGCTTGTCTGTAAAATGGAGTCTAATGACATCTTTTTAGCTAACCCCTAGTATTGTTGTGAAGATAAAATGAATCAGTGCATGCAAAAAGCATTTGTTAGCTGTAAGGTCCTGGACAGAAAAAGGGTTCGATGTTGCCATAACTTTGGCCTGGGGTGGGGCCTTCCCACACTCTTAAGTCACACCTGAGTAGACGGTGGCTGTGCGTGGAAGCCACCTCCTTTTTAATCTTCCAGCTGCCAGGCAGAGAAAAGAACCTCGGTATCTGTTTCATCTGTAGCCCCATCCCAGGGGAAGGTGAGGGTGTCTGGGACTGTCCAGGAAACCAGCCTCCCTCCTCTCACTCTCCTTGAGACACTCGTGTCGCCCCAGTGTCCAGCAATGGGACCCCTCTCGCTGCTCCCCCCTTCTCTGTCCCCCCTGCTCACAGACCACATCCAAGCCACACCCCACCCTACCCGCCACAACACTGGGAGTTGCAGGCAGACACCTTCTTGGGTCCTTCCAGAGACTCACTAGCCTTGTCAGGGTCTCCCTCCTAACTGCTCGATTTGTGTGGAGATGGGGACGCTGAGGCCCAGAGAGGTTACACGGCCTGCTCAGTATTACACGGCACATGTGAGCACTAGCCAGTGTTTTCCCTTTCTCTTCTCTCCCAAAGCTTCCCTAACCTTCCCTTTTGCTTCCAAGCACAAACAGCTCCGCTGAAGCCCCCAAGGCCCAGAAGCCCTGGGGTGAGGGTCTCCTTCCCTCTCTGAAAGATGTCTTCGCTCCTGATCCTTCTCGTTGGAGTGGACTTGGAAGCCCCTTCCCCTGAAACGACCACATGTCCCCTCACGCCATGAACAATGCATTCTGTGCCACCTGCCACCCAGGATCTGACTAAACCATCCTACGGGGGACACTCTCCCTCCTCCCTGCTCTAGGAAACCTCCCCAGAGCTCCCCCAGAATGAAGGTCTCTCCCCAGGGACCTCCCACCTCAACCCACTGCAGTGCTTATCTCTGCCTGTGTCTACATCAGAGGGTGTGTGTGTGTGCGTGTGTGTGCGTGTGCGTGTGTGTGTGCATGTGCGTGCGTGTGTGTGTGCGCCCTCTATTCTGTGAGCTCCCTGAGGGCACAGACCATGTCGTGCTTTTCTTTGTGACCCCAGTGCCTGGCACAGAGCAGGTGCTACAAACCTTGTCTATTGCATTTATTTAAACCTAAGGCCGGGTGGCTTGGGGGTCACATCTGTCACACCCCTAGGCCCCTGGATGCCAGGATAGTGAGAGCTCCAAGAGCAGCAGAGGGAGAAACAGAAATAGATGGGACCCCTCGCGCCTTCCCTCTCAGCAGCCGCACTGCCATCTCTCAGGGCTGCCCGGCCTGGCCTGGCCCCGCGTGGCCGAGAAGAGGCGGAGGCGGGGGCAGTCACAGACACGTAACAGGCCTGTCCTGGTGACTTGTCTCCAGCATGAGTTTGTTTAATGCCCAGTTTCCTGGGAAATTCTCTTCTCACCGCCACCTCGGCTCTGGGGGCTTGAGGCTGAGCTCAACTAGAAAAAGAACAAAGGGACCCAGCTCCAGGTAAAAGTTGGGGACCCAGGAGGGTGGCAGGCACATAGAGAACTCAGCCTTCGTATAGGAGACCAGAGAACAGAGCCCTCAAACCAGCCGGAGACCCAGATCTTTCTGGTGTTTACTTTAGTCTTATACCCAGTGAGCTGAAATTGCGAGAACAACCAAAGGCGGCAGCAGAACCTCTAGGCGGGACGCTGGCAGGCAACAGAGCTCTTGGAACCTTCTCTGGGTGCCTTTGGAAGTAGAGCCAACTTGGCGGGTGGCTGCCTGGGGCAGGGGCATGGCAGAGGTGGCCTGTCCAGCACCGCTGGGCCCAGGATACCTCATCTGGACAGTTGGCCATGGGGGGTAGGGGACCAAAGACAGGGATCAGCTGCTGGGGAGGGAGAGCTCTCCTGGGAGGATCTGAGTGTGAGTGACATCAACCTGGATGTCCCTTCTGGCTGTCTGGGTGACTCAGGTGCTGCTGGCAGGTCTGAATGTGCTGAGGCAAGTCCCAGCCTTCCCTCCCTTTCCACCACAGTCCTGGCAGAGCCAAGCTTCCTGCTCCCATCCCCACTGGGAGACTGGCTATGACCTTTCAGGCCAAGAGCAGGTCAGAACCCTCCTGGGGGCCCCCAGTGGTCCAGCAGCTCCTGATAGGCATCTCCCCTAGGGAGAGATGTGGGTGTGGTGAGGGGCAGGCACACATATCCTAGATCTCCTCAGCCTTAAGAATGGCCTCCACTTCCACTTGGGTGGTACAGGCATCTTGATCATGTCTCAGATGAGGACACTGAGGCCCAGGACCTCACGGCCAGCAAGTGGCTGAGTCTCAGTCGCTCGGGCCCAGGCCTCTTGATGCTGGTTTCCTAGCCTGCACTGGGGCTCACGGTCTGGGGGATGGGCCGGCGCAGAGGCAGCCGCCTGGGCTGGGCCAGCCTTGTCAGCCCTCTCTCAAACTGGGCTGGCCCCTTGGGACTGGGCTGCCTTGTTTCTGAGACTGAGGGGAAGGCTCTGGAATAAGCTAGATCTCAGGGATGGTGTCTCGGGCCGAGACTCCTCAGCACCCTCAGCCTGTATGGTTCTGCAGGTTCTGCCTTAGACCTGTAAGCAGCTCTTCAGCACGCAAACAGGCCTAAGTTCAGGAGGCAGGAGTCACAACTGCCTTGGGTTGTCCCTTTTTAGGTGCTGGGCACCATGCTCCAGGCCCGCAGATTGTCCTTCAAGCCTTACAGAACGTCCTCTCCTGCCCCCTAGCCCTGTGATGCACGTGTCACTTGCTTTCCTATTGGCAGATGAGGAGGCTGGTGTGAGAGTAGTTGGAGCCTTGTCTAAGGTAAGGGTAGTGCCAGGATTCGAGCCCAGGTCTGCCGGCTCCAAAGCCCATGCTCTAAGTGTTGGGGCCACTGCCAGGGAAATTAAGCCTGCCATGAGGATCACTGCAGGTGCCCCAGCAACAGCTCCTTTCTTCTCCCACCATGTGGCCCAGGTCTCTTCTCCTCCCCTCCAGCCCTCCCCACCCTGGAATCACCTAGAATAACCTGGATGGCAGGGTAAAGTCACCTCCCTCTGCCCACGCTGTGCTGAGGACTTTGGCGTTTGCTCAGGCTGCACCTGCCACAGCTCCAGTTTCCACAAGGCTGGCAGGATGTGCCAGCTCTGCATGGGCCCAGTAAGTGTGCGGCTCCAGGCCAGCCACTTGCCCAGGTGCTGCTGGAACAAAAGCGCCAAGGCCAGGCAGAGATGACTTCTAAGCTGCCAGCACCCTGGGCAGGCCAAGGCTGTGGGATGGGCAGGCCCGGCTGAGCCCTCTGAACCCCCAGGTGTGGGGCCAGGACCAGCAGCACAGATGCTCTGGGCAGGAGCCTGACTGTTGGTCCTGCAAGCTGAGGCAGGATGGTCCCCCACAGAAGAGGCCACCCTGTGAACCCCTGGCAGGAGAGGGCAGCAGGTCCAGAATGGGGGCAATGTACCCCTTTACAGAGGGTGGAGGTTCCGACGCAAACAAGGCGGCATCAGTGATCATCAGAGGAACAAAACCCAGCTCCCATCAGGGCAGGGCTTTACTGGGCACTCCGTTGTCACGATGAGGCAAACAGGCCTAGTTGTGCTTTTTGCAGATGACTCTGGAGCTGAAGGTGATCTTTCCCCGTCTCCTTGAACCGTTTGCGCTGCAGCCTCAGGATGGACTGGGAGTAACGCCTACCCTCGCTGCTTCTTCCCTCCTCCCTTCGGTGTGGACTGCTGCTGGCAGTGACATTAAGAGCCAGTGCGGGGAAGGCACCTGACCTTGGGGAGGAATGTGGAAAATGTCTGCAGCTTGGAGCAGCCGACCCCCACCTGGGGCCCAGGAATCTGGGCTCTTGGCCCAGCAGCCCTCCTCAGACCCCCCAGGGAGATGTGCATGTGGTTGGAAGAGAAGGGGGGTGTAGGGCCAGGAATGACACTCTTGGAAGGCCCCATGAGGTCACCTGGTGAAACTCCTCCATGGTTACAAAAGGTGAAGGTGACTGTGAATGCTGTTCTCCTCGCGGTACCAGCACAGCACCCTTCCTGGTCTTGTTAGGGCCTGGTCGCTGACTCCTGGAGTCCCCTCCAGTGCGAGGTCATGGGCACAGCTAAACGTTTGACTTCACAGACCAACAGAGCCGCAGAATGTCAGAGCCCTTTGAAATTAGCAGCTACTTCATCCATCCCATATTACAGATGTGGAAACTGATACCCAGGGGGAACGGGAGTTGGCCACAGGTACACTATTTACAGGCCTGGACTTTGGGGTAGGTGCTTTCCCCACCCCCTCCTGCTTCCATAATGCTGGTGGCCAGCATCTCCTCCCATTAGGGAGCTCAGGTTGCCTCCAAGCTCCCACAGTGTTCTTGCTGGGAATCTAGTACCTTCTGCGGGTGCCCTTAACTGCCAGGAGTGGGAGTGGGCCACAGGTACACTATTTACAGGCCTGGCATCTATGCTCCAGCTCCTGGTGAGCGGTGATCTGTGCTCTGGGCAGATAGCATTGCTAAGGCCAAACTAGCTCCAACAGAGGCCCCTCAGGGACCGAAGCCTAAGAAAGAATTAAGGACTCTGCTGCCCTCTCGTGGCCACCTCTGGGTATGACCGCACCATCCGCGCCTCTAGCCGCTTGTCTTCTCCAAGCTATGAAAACCTCCCTTCCCCTCCTGGACAGCGCTCCAGGAGGGCTGGATGAGGTGGGTGCCATCCCACCTCCCTCTCACCCAGGTGGAGCAAAGCGAAGGGAAGAGCAGATGATTCCTTGTTCAATGTCGGATCCCAAAGGAAGAAGACCTCAGGCCAACAGGTGAGGCTTGGTTTGTATTACCCACAGCGCTTGAGTGAGGGGAGAGACTCATGGTGTCCATGGAGACAGCCTAATCAATCAACACTAGACAGGATGGTTGAAAATTTAGAGGATATTTATTTCTCGTAAGGTCCACAACAGCTGGCAGCCACTCCCCTCCCCCATGCTAGGGGATTTCTCTCTCCTTTTCTGAGAAATCCCCTCTCTTCATGGAAGTGCTCATGGGGAGACTGGGATGTGAAGAGAAACCATACACAACACTCTAGAGCCTTAAAAAAATAAAGCAACAAACAACCTCCTCCACACAAATACACACATACAAAATAAATAGACATAGAAAAGAGAAGCTCCGCTCCTCCTCTCCTGGCTCAAAAGGCTACTTGGGAGAGGGGCTGGGTGGCTTTGCCCCACTTCTCCCAGCCAGGATTATCCAGAGGCTAAATGGTATGAAGTGCCTGACAGCCAAGAATAAGCCCTGGCTTCAGAGAGAGGACGGGCGACCTCTCCCCGGAGCTCTGTAGGGTAAGGTACAAATGAACAAATAAATAAATAAATAGTACCCACCGGTGCTCCCAGAGGCCTAAGGGCTTAGGCTGAGGCTCGGGGCCCCTGGGGTCTGGTTCCCTGAAAAGAGCAGATCCAGCGACAGGCAGAAATAATGACAGGGAAAACACAAGTCCAAAGCCACACCCGGGCCAGGCCTCCAGAGCCTGTATCCTTCAGCTCCCCGAAGGGCCCAGCCCAGAACCCAGCCTCAAACCAGGTCTGGAGGAAGGAGGGAGGGGTGGGCTGAACCTTCTCTCGGGCCCAGCTCAGCAGGTGCCCAAGGCTGGGAAGCTCCTCTTCCCCTCATTCTGGGCCCTGGGGCAAGCAGAGCCTCCCACAGGAGGGAGCTGTGGCTGCCACCAGGGTGGGCTCTTCCCTGGGAACGCTGAGGCATGGCCCTCTCCTGCTCCTATTCTCACTGGCCTTCCTGACTGGCAGCATCCAAGTCAGCTGGGAGAAGTTCTTGTGCAACTGCAAATAATCAAAACAGTCCATCCCGGTGCCCTCCTCGGCTCCATTTGGCCACATATGTCCCCACCACCTCCAGCCAGTGCTGCTCTCGAGGCCCCCTTCTAGCCAACAGGGAGAAGGTGGCAGACAGAAGCAAGAACGGAGATGGGGCAGGAGCTGCTGGAATGAAGTTTGGTCAGGAGGCCAAACTAGACACATGAAGAAGTGCAAGGAAGTGGGGAGTCCCAAGATCCCTCCTGGGGAGTCACGGCCAGATGGGGGCGGGGGAGCACGGGGTAGGGACCAGCTGGCCACTCAGCTGGGCAGCAGCACGTGCTCCAGGAGGTAGGTGAGGGAGTCCCAGTGCTTCCAGAGGAGGAAGAGCATGAGGACCAGGAGGGCAGTGCTGGTGATGCGCAGGCGCGTCTTCATGAGGGGTGTGATGAAGTTGGCGATGGTGGACACGAACACCAGAAGCACGGCCATGAGCGCCAGGATCACGTTGATGAACTTGCCCAGCAGCGCCCTCGCATTGGCGTTTTCCACGCCCTCCAGCTGCACCACCTGCTGCTGCTGCTGCTGCAGCTCCAGCTTGGTGACCCGGGTCAGGCAGGACTCCACGGCCTCCTGCGGGGACACAGGGGTGGACACATGAGGGGATAACAATGCATAGGGTTCCCCCTTCAAGGCCAGGCAGGTATAGGCTGTGCAGCTGCAGCTGGGGGCAGAGCCCTTCACTTATGACTATTTGGGGAGACTGGTCAAAAAGTGGAGTCTTGATTAATGTGGGAAGGGGAGAAGCTGGGCCAATCCCAGCTTCCTCTCGAGGCACTGGCAACTCCCATTATTCATTGGCAAAGCTGCCATTGAAAAGCTGGGGGCACCGGCCACCCTCGCCAGGCAGCTTGCCTTTGCACAGCGCACACCCTGCTGCAGGCCTGCTTTGCTCTTAGCTCCCCCCACCCCACAATGCCCTCTCACCCACATGCCCACCTGCCCCACTGATGACACAGCCCATGCCCAGCATGCCCCACTTGGTAAAGCCTCACCCTGCAGCTGCTGCCAGCTCTATCAGCACAGGGGCCTCCCCAAGGCGGGTCCCTGGTCATACCTGGATGTCCCGAGCCCTCTCATAGGACTGGTAGGCCACCTTCTCCTCCATGCTGGCCAGCTCCTGCTTCAGGTTGCTCATCTCGTTCTGGTGGAGCTCAGTCAGGTCATTGAGCTGCTCCTCCAGCCGCTCATACCTGGCAGAGAAAGAACGTGTGACACCCGTCCTGGCCCCAGAGCCTCCCTTCTCTCCCCAGGATCAATTCCATTCATTCTCAGCCATGACTCAACCCACCCCCCGTGTTTAGCCCAGTCCCAATTTTAACAGCGACAACAATGAAAGGTACCACTGACATAGCACTTCTTCCGAGCAGGTGCTGTGCTGAGCACTTGACCCAGATCAGCTCATAGGATCATCACCATAACCCCACAAGGTAAGGATTAGGCATCCCCATTTTATAGATGAGAAGACTGAGCTACAGAGAGGTTAAGGAATTTGCCCTGAGCTAAGATGCTCTCCTGAGTACCAGGCACACAGGGAGATAGTGTCACAACCCCTGCTCTGAAGGCACAAATATTGAAAGATGACTCTTAGGTGGGGTGGTTGGTTTTCAGGCAGGGTTCCCCTGCAGTTTTCCAAACCTCCTTCATATATATAAACAAGAAAAAGTGCTGCCCTGGCCGGCTAGCTCAGGTGGTTAGAGCTTTGTCCCGATATGACAAGGTTGCGGGTTCGATGCCTGGTCAGGGCACATACAAGAATCAACGAACGAATGCGTAAGTGGAACAACAAATCAGTGTTTCTCTCTCTCTCCTCTTTCCTCTCTCTAAAATCAATAAAAAAAAGAAAAAGTGCTAAGGATTAAATCCCCAAGAATTCTAGGGAGCAAGTGCCAATACTGCACACGGGGCACAGAGAAGAGCAGGGTGGGCAGAGGGGAGGAGGGACCAGATGCCGCATTTCCATTCACACTGACCGTGCCAGACAACTACACCCTTTAATTTCATAGGTCTGGCCTCACTTAATCCTGACGCTTCGAGTGAGGACTCATGTTACTCGCGCCTCACAGACAAGGAAACCAGGTGCAGAGTGCAGTAAATAGTAAATAGTAAGTAGAGCTGGGATTTGAGCCCAGGTAGCCTGGCTCCAGAGTCAGTGCTCTTAACCAGAGGAGAAGCGATGTAGCTGGTCCCTGCCTCAGTTTCCCCTTCTGTACACTGACCACATAAGCATCAAGTAGGGATGCTCGCAGCTCCTGAGACAGGCAGAGCCTTCCTCTCATCCGGCCTGTACGCCTATCTCCCAGCGGCTCTGCCCATTCTAGAGGAGGGCTCCTCAGTGCCTCTTCCTGGTCCCTTCCAGCAGCGCAGGACCATTCTGGATGCTTCTCCACCTACTTCCACAACTCTGCGTCTGAAACCTGGGGCTCATCACCTCACACCAGGGGTGGCTGGGCGGTGGCGACGGTGAAGGCACCTACCTGTAGCGCTCCTCCTGCAGGCACTGGGTCATGTAGGTGTAGTCCCTTTGCAGCTGAGCCTTCAGGTCCTCCATGGAGTCCTCTAGGTGGGACTGTCCCTCCTTGATCTCCCGCAGCTCTTCCAGCAGAGCATCCAGGTTTCCGGGAGCCCCATACAGTGTGTTCGACTTGGGGCTCCCCAGCGCCCCAGCGGGCCCAGCCCCGGAGTTGCTGCCAGCCCCAGCCGAACTGGCGCTGGCACTGGAACACTCGTCATCGCTGCCATACTTGGGGCTGGACACGAGTGTGGCGCTGCCACTCAGTGTCCGGGCTGCCTCCTCGGGGGGCCCGTCCTCCAGAGGGTCCTTCAGGTGGGCAATGTTGTCAGCACTGCCAAACTTGTTGCGGATCAGGCTGGCGAACTCCCGGGGCTTGGACACGACCGCAGTGTGGGTGGCCTGCGAGAGGCCCGAGAGGCTGCCCTTCACGCCCTCCACCACGCCGCCCCCGAAGCCACTGATGCCGGCGCGCACATTGGCACCCACATCCTTCAGCCCCTGCTGCATGTCCCGCAGCACGTCCTTGGGCTGCCTGGAGGGCCCGTTCTGCTCAATCTCCCGCAGGCGCCGGCGGTAGTGCTCCAGCTTCTTGTGCAGCTGCGCGATGGTCTGGGCCGACTTCTGGTTCTTCTTCTCAAACACCTGCTTGATGCGGGACACCTGCTGCTTGTCCGCGTTGTTGGCCAGCTTCAGATACTCCGCCACGTTGTCGTCGCGTGCCTCCTGCTCGATCTTGATCTGCTCCGTGATCTTCAGGATCTTCTGGTGCAGGTGCTCGATGGCGGCCTTGGTCCGCTGCGGGTCAGGGGCCCCGTCGGGCACATCCAGGCTGATGGGGCCATCAGTGTCAGCATGGCCGGGGCCGCCGGAGAGGCTCGCGGCCACCAGGTCTCCCTTGTCAGCCTAGGGAAGAAGGCAAGCGGAGGAAGCCTGGGTAAATCATGAAACCACGGGAGGGGGCAGGCCGGCTTCCCTCACGGGGCCCTGACACCTCTGGACTTGGTTTCTCTGCCTAGAAAATGGTGCAGATGAACAGAAGACTTCAGGAAGACGTTCAAAATAACCATGACAACAGTATCCCTTCCGCCGGTCACCTGTAATATAACTGGTCCCCACAATGTCCCTGAAATGCAGTCTGGGCAGAGGTGTCCCTCCTTCAGGCGAGAGAGTTCAAGCCAGTCGCTCAGGGACACACAACTATGAAAAGACAGACCCTCCCGCCCAGAGCTCCTGATGCCCCACCGCAGGGGCCATGCAGGTCTGAGGCTTCACTGGTCACAGGGCTGATTTCTCAGGGATGAGACAAACTGTCCCTGTGGACCCAACCTCCCGAGGCTCCTGCCTTGGGGGGGCCTCTTCCTCAGGCCTGACCGAAGCTACGCTTTGAGCCCAGGGCCGGCACAGGAAGCCTCCCCACCTTCC